AGTTTTTGCATTGTTCCAGACATTTTCCCACTTGTCATCAGTAATCGTACAACCAAGTTCGCTCTCCCAGAGCCCTTTCAGGTGAGAGTCTACAGTAGAATACCCCTTAAGGATATTGTAAAATATTTTAATGGAAGCAGTTGACTTTGTAAGGAAGATCTGTCTTTCCATGTCCGATATTTCTCCAAAGACTGGATGTGCAGTATCTTTCCTAACAAAATCCCTCACCTGTAGATATTGGTAAAAGTCTTTCCTTGAAATATCATATCTCTCAGTCAATTGGTTAAATGACATTAGGTTACGCCCCTCTAAGAAATTGTGCAATTTGGATAGGCCTTTCTGTGCCCAAATCTGAAATCTACTGTCAATTATTCCAGGTAAAAACTCAGGATTATTACAGATAGGGGTAAAAACAGATGTAACATTATGCCTACCTTCTAGCTTTCTTAATGACCGCCACGCCATGGCTGTGGTAACAGTGATAGGATTAGCACAGGCAGACTTAAGAGACTTCATTTTTTTAAGAAATAATAGCACTGTCAAGGGACAATCAGACATAGAACTTTCTATGTCCATCCAAAGTGAGGTTGGCCTATTGTGCACCCATTCCGCTATAACACGCAAATGAGCACTAAGTTGGTACTTTCTTATGTCTGCCATGTCTAGACCTCCCTCCAATGACGGTCGACATAACATAGCCAGTTTAATACGCGACTTCCTTTTGGACCATATGAAAAGAGCTAAGCCAACCATTTAATTGTTTGATAACCTTATGGGACAACAAGACTGGGAACATTTGTAATGGATAGAGCAACCTGGGGAGAACATTCATTTTCAATAGCGCAATTCGGCCCATCCAAGAGACGGGAAGACTATTCCATCTCTCCAGATCAAGCCGAATACGATCAAGTAAAGGAGGGAAATTGGCTTTATACATCTGTGCAAACGTAGGGGTTACATGTATGCCCAAATAAACAAAACCCTCTGCTGACCACTTGAAAGGAAAAGAGCCCATTGGTGCTTGTTTTAAAGTGCCTAGGGGCATTGCCTCAGATTTAGTAAAATTTATCTTGTAGCCTGAAAAGTAGCTGAAATTGTTAATTTTCTCAACAAGGCAGGGCACAGACACCTCAGGTTCTGTCACCACCACCAAAACATCGTCTGCATAGAGTGTGATCTTATGTTCTTTATCTGCGATTTTAAAGCCGCTGATGTTATTATCTACTCTGATGGCCTCAGCCAGGGGTTCCATCGCCAGAGCAAACAGCAGTGGGGACAGAGGACAACCCTGCCTAGTTCCTCTAAAAATAGGAAAGTATGGGGAACGTAAACCATTTGTAAGTACTGCTGAGAGAGGATCTGCATATAAAACTTTTATCCAACTAATGAAAGTAGTACCAAAGCCGAATTTATGTAATGTATAAAATAAATATGATAATTCTATGCGATCAAATGCTTTTTCTGCATCTAGAGAGAGCACAAGACCACTTTTTGAATGTTGATGAAAGTATTGGATTGTGTTAAGTAGCCGTCGCATATTGTTATAAGAGTTACGCCCCTTAATGAATCCAGTTTGGTCTTCATTAACGAGAATTGGCAGTAATTTTTCCAATCGAACAGCTAAAACTTTAGATAGAATCTTCAAGTCCACATTTAAGAGTGAGATTGGCCTATATGATGAGCATTCTTCAGGTGCTTTACCTTTTTTTAAAATCAAAGAAATATTTGCTTCTCTCAGGGATTGAGGTAGCGTACCCCTAACAAATGAGTCATTAAACATATTCAACAGAGGATCAACAAGTACGTCACAAAACTCCTTGTAAAATTCTACGCTTAGTCCATCCGGACCAGGGGATTTACCAGATTGTAGCCCTTTAATTGCATCAAGTAACTCTTTTTTGGATATTGGGGCATCAAGACATCCACTTTGCTCCTCCGACAGACATGGGAGAGTCAAAGAGGAAAAGAAACTGTCCATTTTCTCAAGGCTATCCGGCTGGTGCTCAGACTTATATACATTTTCATAATAACCTCTAAATACATTGTTAATATTTAACGTGTCAAAGATTTGCCTACCCTGGATGTCCATGACAGAGGAGATCGACTGCAAATCTGCCTTTTTTTTTGGTTGAATATGCCAAGTATTTTCCCGCTTTACCGCCGAATTCATACAGTTTCTGTTTTGCAAATCTTATCTGGTTTTCGGCCTCCCCCGTCAAAAGTGCATCCAGGGCACATCTGAGTGCCGATACCTCCTTTATTTTCTGAGCAGATGGCTGTTGCCCATATTCTTTCTCTGCACGTTTTAATTTAGACTTAAGAATCTTCCTTTGTTCAGCCTGTCTTTGCCTTTTACTAGATGTGTAGGATATGATAAGACCACGGGAAAAAGCTTTAGAGGTTTCCCATAACAATGATGAATTGTTAGTGGAGGTTAAGTTAGTGGTTAAAATTTTTTTAAATTCGTCCCTAAAATACAAGAGAAACCTCTGATCAGTTAAAATGGATGGTTTAAATCTCCAGTATTTGGTCTGGTTAGCTGGAAAGTGAAAAGTTATATTGTAAAAATACAGCAGCGTGGTCAGAGATAATAATTGGGCCTATTGAGCTTGAAATAACTGAGTAAAGGAGAGTTTTTGAAAGAAAAAAATAGTCAATCCTTGTAGATGATTGTGAGACATTTGAAAAAAAACGTATATTCTTTATCTGTAAGGTGCTGTGCTCGCCATACATCAGCATAATCCATATCTTCACAAAATGCATTGACGCACTTAGCATGAGAAGAAAGTGATATTTTGCCAGGTGGGGATTTGTCCATAACGGGGTTGAGATGACAGTTAAAATCTCCTCCTATAAAAGTCTGTCTTATACCAAGATTGATAATTTTTGAAAAGGCAGTGGTTAAAAAGGTTTTTGGGGTGCCCAGGTGGATTATATATATTTAAAATTGCGATTTCTTCACCAAAAATAAGCCCCTTTACAATAACATAACAGCCCATTGAGTCCTTTATGCAATCCAACAGTTTAAATTGAATATTTTTTTTTGTATCAGAACAGCAACACCTCGGCTTTTTGTTGTGAAAGACGAAAAATAAACCTGACCAAAAACTACCTTGTTGTAGTTTCAAATGCTCATTGTCACTTAAATGGGTCTCCTGTAATAAAGCTATTTGTACTCCCTCCCTCTTAAGATAATTTAAGACTTTTTTGCGTTTAACAGGTGTATGTATCCCCTTAACATTCCAGGTGCAAAATTTTAAACCAGACATGAAGAACAGGTAAACAGCAAAACAGTAGGGTATCTGTCTATTTGTGTCATATATACATATAAACTGAGTCAAGCACAGGGCCAAAAAGAACACAAAATGAACAATTCGAACAAAAAAAGGTGTACTTAAGGCACACGTTACCTAACATAACTACAGCACTGTCCTCCTCAGTCTTAGAGAAGATCGAGCGAGTGGGATCCCTGACGGAAACAAGACATATCAGTCCAGAGTGCCAGGAGGCTGTGCTTTACTCTATCCCAACAGTCAGTGTAGCGTCAAATTGTAATACAAGCGCAGTTCACATTGCTTATGTACTCACTGGTAGAAGACAGGCGAAGGAACTTTAAGTTAAGAAATTAACCCCGATTCTCGGACGCTGACCAGCCCGAACGCAGCCTCGTCCTCACTCGCCATGGGTCAGAGGGGGGACCTCCAACGAGTCGATGTAGCGCTGTACCTCGTCGGGGTTGTCAAACACCTTACTCGTCCCACGGAAGGTTACTTTCAACAAAGCTGGGTATAGCTGCCTATAAACGGCACCAAGTGACCGGAGCCGTCTCTTCACAGCGTCGTATCCCTTCCTCTTGCGGGCCACGGCAGCTGACAGATCCGGGAAAAACATTATAGTAGCATTTCCGTGCGTTACGGCCTGGTCCCTCCGTCCTATTTCCCAAGAAGCATTCATCACACGCTGTTTATCTTGGTAGTTGTGAAAACGTACAATCACGGGTCTTGGCCTCTGTGTCGAGGGGGCTTAGGGCCAGAAATGCGATGTGCTCTCTCCAGCTTGATTCGTCCCTCTTTCGTTTTAAGACGCAAAACCTCAGGGAGCCAGCGCTCAAAAAACAGGGTTGGATTAGTTCCCTCGACATCTTCGGGGAGCCCCACGATACGGACATTCTTCCTGCGTCCCCTATTTTCCAGATCATCAACACGTTCAGTCAAGTAGCGAACGGACTTCTCCAAGGCCGCCGCTTTAGAGTTGATCGGATCTGCCGCATCCTCGAGGGCTAGAATCCGCCGCTCCGACTCAGTTAGTCTGTTTTCATGTGCGTCAATCCGATCACCTTGTTTTTTCAGCAAAACCAGCACCGGTGCCAGTTTCTCATCAATTGCCTTGGTGACATTGGCCGTCATCTCGGTCATTGTCTCACGTATGCAAGCACGCATGCTAGCATCTAACCCAGCCCGTTCTGTACTGGTACTAGCTCGCTGCTCCCTCCATGTTAGCATCGGCTACTCCTTGTTCCACAGATGTATCCGAGTCTTGGTTTTTCTTGTGGCGAGGCATGTCTGACTGTCTCAGAAAGTAGTTATTAATGCTCATTATAAGTAAGTACACTACAGCACTTGTTTTGTGGTCTTTAGTTGGGTCAAATGATAATATCAGTGAAAAGTTCACCAGCACTCCGGAGCCAGACCTGTCCTCACGCCGCCATCTTAGAATCTCTCTTGATAATTTTTAGTTTTTAGATCCTGCCCGCACCCGCAATGAGTTTTCAAAATGTGTCCCACGTCCAGCTCTAACCTAAAGAGCTATGACTGAGTTTTTCCAAGAGCAAGAGCTACAAGAACATAAATCCTCATCAACACCGCGCGCTCTTACTGCCACATGATCGGCTGTAGACTCGCCGATTAAACTGAACTCGCCTCATCATCGAGATCGACCAAAGTAGAGATTGTAGAGAAAATATATTAATGTGTCACTTTTTTTGTTTTCTGTCCTGTCAGGAGGGAGAGTCGACGCCGTGGAGTGCACCCTTCCCAAAGACCTTCGCGGGCGGGACATTCGGACCGTCCCCGTCGAGATGTTCAACTACTGCCTGCAGCTGGAGGACGAGAACGGAGACGGATCTCGCCCCGGCAACGGCGGGCCCCCCTGTAGCCGTAGCAACCAGAACAGAGACACGCCCCCTAGCGACAACAACGAAGACTCCTCCTCCCCTTCGAATCCCGGGGGCGAGGGGACGTCCGACTGCGTGCGGGCCCGGTACCGCCCCGTCAGCGTGCGCCGGGCGATCGGCACCGTGGTGATCGCCGGGGTCGTGTGTGGGATCGTGTGCATCATGATGGTGGCGGCGGCGGCGTACGGGTGCATCTACGCTTCACTCATGGCGAAATATCAGAGGGAGCTGAAGAAGAGACAGCCGCTAATGGGCGACGGAGAGGCAGACGGAGAGGACAGAGAAGAAAAACAGATCTCGTCGGTCGCTTAAAGGAGTTTAAAGGGGAGGAGAGTGAAGAATGGAGGGGTTCTATTTAAAGGGCTCAAGAGGAGAGAGAGGACAAAATGCTCATCAATGCACCAACACAGTGAAGGCTCATTTATGCTCTACATTCTAGACACAAACGGATACGCAGACACGCTTCTGTCCAAATAATCACACTGTTCTGTCCGTCATTTGGTCAGAACATGTGAAATCTGACCACTAGGGGCAGTACTGAACACCGCTCAATAGTGAAAGCTTTTAAATTGTGACTAGAACCAGCTGCAAAACAAATAAATTCTTCTTTCATCTCATTTTCTTGAGTCATTTCCAGCAAATGTGATCTAAATACATAGAAGTATAATAAAATCTGGAAGATGAATCCAAGATAGGTTTGTATTGTTTTCAAATGCGTGTGCTCAATGGCGCATCGTCCCCAAAAAAGATTTCTACTTCTGTATTACTGGCCTTACAAATCTGTGTATCATTCGTTCATTCATTTTTTAAATTAAAGCCAAAAGTAAGAAAATGAAAAAACAAGTATTTTCTTCATTATCTGTCACCAAAACCAAAATGAAAAAAATGGATAATGATTTGTTTTGTGCAGTTTTCGATTTTGTGTTTAAACGAGTAATGGAAAAAATGGATAATAGACGTTTCCCGTTTCATTCCATTTTGATCGTGGATCTACAGTATAATGAAAACTGGAGATGCTGGACTTTTGCACCGCATACAGACTGAACCAGGACTGTACCAGGTCTAAATCAGGACTATATCAGGTCTAAACCAGGTCTAAAACAGGACTAAAACAGGTTCTGGTTCAGTCCTAGGATCAGTCCTGGTTTAGTCCTTGTTCAGTTCTGGTTCAGTTCAGGTTTAGTCCTGTTTTAGTCCTAGCTCAGTTCTGGTTTAGTCCTGTTCAGTCCGTATGTGGCGCAAAAGTCCAGCATCTCCAGTTTTTATTAAACTGGAGATTTACGATCAAGATTGGATGAAATGCGAATAGAACTTTACCCGTTTTTTCTATAACTCGTTTAAACGCAAAATCAGAAATTCAAAAAACTAATCATTATCTGTTTCTTTGTTTTGGTCGTTTTGAGACAAATAATGAACTTTTTTTTTCTTTTTTTTTTTTCATTTGCTTACTTTTGGTTTTATTTTAAAATCCAACCTTTATGAAAGCTGTCGATGCCCCGTCAGTCGAAAATGGGCCAGTTTGAATTCACAAAAAATGCGTTGTGCTGCTCTATGGGACAATTCTTTCTGGGCTGGAGCTCCCGGGAGCTGCAGTACCTGGAGCAACCACTAGTCTCGCTCACAGACAGAGTTCTTCTTATGGATCCATGTCTAAAACCTGCTGTAGGTGCCTCCATGTTTGTTTATTTCTCGCTGTATTTCATCCGTTTTCGGTCAATTCTCAAACTAACCCTTCACTCCCTCTAGTGGCTGAGTAAGAGAATGCAGTCTGGACACTAGAAACATTTGAAAGAACGAACGAAACGCAGTAACGGAAAAAGACAAAGCGCGGATCTGTTTACGTACGAAAGTGAAGCATAAATGAGCCTTAACAGTAGCTTTAGTTCACACACTATTCATTAATTTCTTATGTGATATTTTAATCAATTAAAGCTGCACTATGTAACTTTTCAGATGGAGATTGGAGATGTTATTGCTTTGCCTGGGATGTTCCACGGTATAGCTTTAAACTTTCATCTCACATGTGTTTTTATTGCTCAAAAATACCTTTAAAATGCGTATTTCTACTGTGAGCTGAGTCGCCTTTCCATGGATCTGACCTGTAACTAGGCCCGGTGGTGTGAACTGCTCGTCTCCATGGTTACAAGTTTAATGCCGTACTGAGAAACACGCCTGGCAAAGCAATAACATCTCGGATGCAAGCAGGTGACAGGCCTTCTTCCAGAAAAAATGTTTCATAGTGCATCTTTAAAAGGTCCCATATTGAGTAAAAGAGGGTTCATGATTTGGGGGAAAAAAAAGAAAAAAGTGTAATTGAGATTTGAAAATACTTTAATTATAATAATAGAAATAAACATAATAAAAATGTTTCTAAAGGCATCCAAATTTTGAGATACTAGAATAAGACTAGAAGTAATCCAAAAATGATGAAAATGAGACAGGGCATTTATTTATTATTTATTAATTTCAGAGAACAGTATATTAATTAAATTATTGCAACCTGATTATATCTGATTATACTAATTGACACCATTCAATTTACAATTTTGATTTGATTTTGATTAATATTGTAGCCCTGACACAAAATGTACTATTTATTATTGCGGTTTTTAGCCATGTTATAACATTATTTGCTAACAATTTATAATAAGGTGATTTATAATAAATAGCAAACTAGTAATGACCTAACCCTTTGTTAATATTTATTAATTGTTACTAAAATAACAGTTTGGCACAAGTAAATTATTCTCATCATTAACTGAACATTAGGCGTTAGCATTATTAACTATTAGGGATGTAACAATAACCGAAATATAATGATATCATATCGTCAAAAGTCTCACAATAATATCGTAGGCTGTCACAATATATCGAATTACAAGTTCTTTTGCTTAAATACATGGTTTTATAGAAGCAACAGCTTATGAACATTGGAAACTACATATCTCATGATTAATTTCAGTGCAGACAACATGAAGAAATGTTTTTCCAAATATACCTTTCCAAAATATTGCAATAAATATTGTATCGTTAGATGCATATCATGATAATATCATACTGAGAGATTTAGCATTTAAATGATGCGTAATGAAGAAGAAAAAAACATATATAAGTCTCCCTGGACTATAAGTTCTACTTTTGGGGGGAAATTTATTTTATAAAATCAGAGACCAGGAACTGACATTTCATCTTGAAAGACAAGTTCTAGTAAAAACAATAGAATAAAGAACAAAAGGCTGAATAGACGTTAATATGTTAATGTAACATATTAACAATTATTCAGATAACTACAGCATAAACAACAGAACAGAACAAGTTTACCAAACTCTCCATCTCACTCCAAATCATTAATTAAATCCATTGAATTCTCACTTCTGAGCACTGCTCCAAGTCCATGTTTTGTCCCTCAAAAGTTTCTCGCTCACTCCAAAATTTCTGCTGCTCAGTTACCATTTTCTGCAGCTACTTGCAGCAGGACAGTGGCTTTTTCCGCAGCAGATATGCGGAGAAAACTGACACACAAGGCTAGAGCCTCTCATGGCTGTGAGTCTGAAAATTTTAATATATAAGTCGCACCGGAGTATAAGTCACAGGAAACACCCAAACCATGAAAAAAGTGCGACTTATAGTCTGAAAAATATGGTAATTAGTGCCAAAAAGACATTTAGTTAACTATTAACAAATATTAATACAATATTAGTTAATAATATAGTTATAATTAACAACTCATATTTAGTTAATGATAAAAAAGTATTAACTTGTGCCAAATAGATATTTTAGTAACGATTAATAAATATTAACAAAGGGTTAGGGAATGATTAGTTTTCTGTTTATTATGGCACCTTAATATAAAGTGTTACCCATTATTTCCCTCTCAAACACGTATCCTTTTGCCTTTAGTTTAGTATTTTTAGCATTAGCAGAGTAAACGAATGAAACACAACATTTACCTTTTACCTCTATAGTAAAACACACTTCACACAATATTTTTGCTGCTCAAATCCACTGCAGTATTTTAAAGATCGTCCCTGGATCCCGCCCACAAACCTCCCACTCCAGCTCCATTTACATTACAGTATCCTGGCAGAGGGAAGCGGTTTTGGCACGGACTAGTTTAAAACATATCATTTATAGGATTAATAACACTTTAATATCATGTAAGGAAAAGCTAATGGGAATTTTCAGGAGATTTTCAGGGATTTTCAGTACTTATAACGGTGTCAAATGGATCAATAGACGTAGTGTATTGTACATAGAGGTATGACGGTTTTAGGTCGTGATTGTGTGTTAAATCCACATCTCTCTCCTCCTTAAAAGTTGTACTGCGTGACTTTTCTCGTCTCCGTGGAGATGGTGTTGCGTGGCCCGGGATGTTCCACAGTATGGCATTAAACTTATCTGCGTATAATCTGTTTTACAGTGGGAAATCAACTCAAAATTAGTGAGTAAAACATGTGCTTCTACTGTGAGTGGGGTCGTTTCTCCATAAATCTGACCTGTAACTTGGTCTGGTTTAGTACTAAAATGTAAAAAAATTTCAAACTCCATGTCTAAGGAATATACTATATGATGCTAAATACAGATTCTATTAACATTTTCAACATTAAATTACAGGGATGTAACAATAACTGAAACATCGTGATATTGTATCGTCAGAGTTCTCACAATAGTATCGTGGATCATCACAACTAGGGATGGGCATTCGATTAAATTTTCTTAATCGATCATCGAGAGAATTAACGATCGATTATCGATTAATCATTAACATTTTTATATTAAAATGATCATCATTATTATTACTATCTGCACTACTAATCTGCATAAATAAATTCAACTTTACGACATATAAACCATAACCACTCTAGAGCCACATCAGCCCGTTTGACATTATAATGTGTTTAATGCAGCTTTGCACAAATCTCACAGAAACGAAACTTTAAACCGCACGGCTAATTTGCATAAATTAAGTGAAGAAGAAAAAAACAGCTCTTGTGTCGCTCATGCGGCACGACTCAGGTGAATACAGGTTAGTGTGACCATATTTGCGTCTGTCAAAACCAGGACAGCGTACGGGGGGAGGGAGGTGGGGACTCGTCATTGACATTGTGCGACTCTAACCTGGCAAAACTTTTTCATGTTTTCAGTGTCCTAGTGAGCTTTTTCTCACTGGACAATGAAACATATGTGCTGCTTTATACACTGTGCACGTGGCCTCACACTTGTCCCAACCGGAGCAGAAAGCGGGGAATCTCTTGTACAAATCATCATTAAATACACATTTGTGCTTCTGCACGTTGCAGACTGACTTTGTG